AGAGTATAGGTACAAAAAATCTTTCATAGCATAAATACGAATTTTAGATCAGAGGTTGGGGCTATTCAAAATATTCAAAAACATGCATTTTACATTTTTGGAGAGATTTTCAAACCAGAAAATGACGCAATACCGAGAAAATTGCTTCTTTTCAATTGTTTTGCAGTTACTAAGAGCTCAACTAAAAATTTATTTTTTTTAATTTAATACATTTATTTCCAAAACATACAACGAATTTTGAGGCAAAACTTCCTCATAAGCCCTCGGTTAATACTTCATCTGGGGTGCCAGGAGCTCCCTGGATCGGTATATTTTTTCAATGTTCAATTTACAAAAGTTTTCATAATCGAAAAATTAAATAAAAAATGTGGTTATTTATCATTGCTGATATTTCATTTTCACAAATATACACAGGTATTTCGTTTCATATAAAATAAATATAGATAAATAAAATATTATACATCTAATACAAAGTACAGGTTTGCATATGGCTCTTAGAATTGGATGTCATGCTTCATTTACATGTATATGTTCAATAATGTAAGTAATATAATGATAACAAATTTAACAATGAAAAAAGAAAAAAAATATTTATACATTTCATTTTTAAAAAGGATCTTAAAAAAATTCCCTATTTAGCTTTCTTGCCATGTACAATGTATTGACTCAAAATTTACATAGCACATAAAATATCCGGTTATAACCTTGTATAGAAACATGTGAGTTATCTTTGAATTTTTTCCTTTTGACTTTCAAATGATTCAGTAACAAAATAATAAATAAAAAATTACAGGTAATGTGTTTGAAAATTTAACTTTCCTGCTTATGAAATCAGTGTTGAACATGGAGGTCCCATTTCTCCTTCCAACGTCCATATTTGACCCCCATTTGTTTACATGCTTCTTCGATCAGGCTACCCAAGAAGCTTGAATTTCAAAAGTATTTATGTAATTAAAAATAGATATCTTACAGTAGGAAAATATACTTTTTTATCTTAACATTACATATGTCTCTCCACATTAAGACACATTTCAGCTAGCTTCAAATTCTTATATGACATTTTTATAATATTACAATATATCAATGAATTGTTCTTCACAAATTTTATCAAATTTTCTGTAAGACATGGTTCACAATTTACTCGACATTTCATTTTATATTTAAATATTTTCAGAGCTTAGCCTATAAAAGAAATGAGTATGTTCAACATTTCAGATAATTGAGTTTCTTCAAAAAACCCAATTACTATATTTTTCCACCCAATATTGAAGTTTAATGATATGCTGACTTTTTTCTATATGTTTGAAGAATCATTGTACTTATATAAAAGAAATTTTCAATTTCCTCAATTTCCTCACACTTGTTACGAAATCTGTGCACATCAGCATTCCATTTCCTAACATTCAAATTATTATTCAGCAGTTTATGTAATAGTTTATAATTAAAATCAGTAATTTGTTTATCAAACATTTTAGTAATTTTCATATGAAATTTTTTTGGCTATATTGATCTATGAATATCAAATAAGTCTGTCCAGTATTTTAGAGTTATAGGTTGGTGAAATTTCATTTGCTCTCAATATGTTGTAGAAAAAGGAGGATTTCTAACTCTCCACATTACAATAAATATCTCCATAAAATAAATTAAAGTGATAATTCTTAATGTTGACATTCTGAGCTTTTCTACATTCAAAAATTTTTGAGTACTTATTAAACACATATTTCATTATTAGATATTCACAGAATATGTTTCTTTCATCAATAATTTTTTCTAAGAAGTATGAAATATCCTGTAGTCTTCCATTTATATAAAAAAGATAACACACCTGATTTTATCCAGTTGGTTAGGAATACTGATTTGTTTTTATGCACAAATAATATAGTTTTCCAAATCGGTAATGACAAAGACTCGTCAGTGGACATTTTTTTCCAGATCTTTTTTTTTTTGCATTTATTGAATGCAGAAAATGTAGAAACAAGGTAGCAAATTTAATTCATGATAATCTTTGTCTTGCACATTTGTTTTGAGTAAATAGTCAAGAGTTAAATTCTCTTTGCTAAGAATATTTTGTATAAAAGAAACTAAACTGTTATTAGATTTGAGAATTCTTGGAATCCTAGAAGCTTTTTCAGAGAGAAATTTTGTTTCAACATCAAATATATTAATACCACCCTCCTGCCTGTTTTCCTTTTTAACCTATCTTTAGCATTCCATATAAAGTTATAAATTATTCTATTGATTTGTTTGAAATATTCCTTTTATCTTTAAACGAACACTGACCAGTTCTCTTAATGAAAAGAGGGCCAAAAAAAAAACCTAGGTGAACCTTGTTCTTAGCTTTATTGCATAAAGCTTCTTACATATATGTAGAAGTATATATACACAAGAAATGTTTCGACATTTTCTTTATTATGCAGCATGCTCAGCTGGAAAATTTGGACCTGATTGTTTGCTGTCCTGCTCTGGACATTGTAAAAATAATTCTACGTGTTTTTTCACTAATGGTATGTGTTTGGAAGGCTGTTCTGTCGGGTGGATGGGCGTCTTTTGTAATAAAAGTAAGACACTTTTCACAAACTCCCACCAAATAAAAAAAATTTACAAGTTATATGCACTTCTCATGTAGAATCTGTTTACAACCCTGTAAGATGTTATATGAGTTTTATCAAAGTCAATTAAAATTAGTTATCCATATTTAAATCAAGAGGGCACAAGGATTTACCTTGGGTCTTATTTCATTTCTGCCGAAGGGTGTAAGGATAACAATAAAATTTAAATAACGATATTTAAGATAATACAGCATTATTGTAAATAATAGCCTTTATGTAATCTATGATGTAATGTAGTTCAACTTTCATGTTTGTTTGAGTCTTATTGTGTTATTAGCTGTCTCCTTTAGAAAAAAGTTGTAATTAGCCAATCGTAACGCTTATTCAAATCACGTGACACAAGATAGCGTCTTTTCACTGATTTAGAAGTGCCAAGAAATTCACAAATTTGGCCTTGTTTTTTGCAAACAGCTTTTCATAGCAGTTTGCTTTTGGTGGCAGCTTTTTGTTTTGACAACTTTGTGGTTTATATACTTTTTATTTGTCAAAATATTTTTGCCAAATTAATGATTGTTTGCAACAGGAGAGATACCGTTGCCAAATTTATTGTTCTTTGTACTCAGGAAATATCCCGGTGATCTCCCCTTAACTTTATCTGTGTTATATACTTATTGTCATTTAATAAATGACAATTCTCACTCAGTATACATTGTTTGTTATATTTCAACCTTTGCGGTAGTCTAGCCAGATCACTAGGGTTACATAAATGTAAATTTCCTAAAATATTTGACAGGCTGTGCATTTGGTACATTTGGACCGAGTTGTAAATACAACTGTAGTAGACATTGTGTAAATGATTCGGTCTGCAACAGAATAACAGGAAAATGTGACCAGGGGTGTAAACCTGGATACATGGGAGAACAATGCAATAATGGTAACTATAATTTCAACTCACCTGAGCTGCTAGTTAAAGCAAAATTTCAAAACTTTGTCCCTCGTACATGTGTCTCTTTATATATCTACCTAGAAACATTTCATATTTTCAACCTTGTCTCCATAAATACTGAGGGATTATGATACAATATTTCAAATAATTGCTTTATGGTATCTAAAAGATACTATTTCATGTAAAGTACGGAGTAAAATATACATTTTTTTAACCTTTATAACATTTATGATATGCGGAGACTACATGTACTGATTGCTGAGTTATTTAAATACATACAGCAAGCTCAGAAAAATGGAAATGTAATAAAAATAAACCGTAAAAAGCCTCACAGAATTGTAATTATATGGAATTCAAATCACGTTTCATACACAAAATAGACGTGGTTGTATTGGTAGGGACAGAGTAGCTAGAATAAGTTAAAAGACAAGAGAATAAGATAGCTGATGATGCACTTCATTTTAATAATTATGTAATTTATTTCATCTAAACTTAATTATCTTTTTTTACTGACCACCTTTCTAATTTTCTTATATCCTGAACAGTGTGTACCGCAGGTAGATATGGATCAGACTGCATGTTTTTTTGTAGCCAACACTGCATTAACGAGGAATCTTGCGACCACAGGACTGGAGCTTGTGAAAATGGTTGTTCAGATGGATATAAAGGAGAGCTATGTAATCTAAGTAAGACAAAATAATGACACATATGTATTAATTTTTTTATAGAAATAAATGCATGTTAGATTGTTTTCTTTGTTTAAACACCCTATTCTTAGAATCTATCACCAGAATATAGTCTGATCATGAATTATACACTCAATAAAAATATACTAATTGTATACCACATAGACCTTATGAAGAAAGATGTTTATAAATGCGTATTTTTTTGGTTTCCTTTTCATAAGTTCAAAACATTTTAGAATATCAGACACATTTACGAAACTCCTTGTATTTGTAAACAATTAATTAAAGCAAAAAATTCACATTCTTTTCTGCATTTACTTAATTAAATCCAAACTTAGGTTTTCACTCTCCTGAATTTATCTTTTCCTTAATAATATACGTGTATTTACTGAAATTTGATGAAAAGATCTGATTGCATATAATGCCCTAAAATAAAAATAAAACATTTTTTTTAAAATTTTACCAGATATAAATTAGTGTATATCATAAAGCAGGAAATCACAAAAGCTAAAAATAGTACAATGTCCCGAGGTTTGACATGCTACGACCGGAAGCTTCATAACGTTTTTAAATCAAAACTTGATAACCAAATGAAGCCTAATGGAACATACTTTTTTCTTTTAAATTATAACATTAATAACTAGCTTTATTAATGTATGTTTCTTGGATATACCCCCCCCCCCTCAACAAAGAAAAAAACATATAGAAGGCTGCGAAAGATTGTCTGACAATAAAAAATATTATTTCCAAACCCCTAATCAAATACTAAATTACTGAATTGAAAGGATAAGAAATATAGTTTTATTTTTTCAGTTTGTGGTAATGGTTATTTTGGAGCAAATTGTTCAAACGTTTGCTCTGGGAACTGTTCTGATATATGCAATCATATTGATGGGACTTGTTACGTCAAAGCTAGAATGATGGATTCTCCAGGATGCAAACAAAGTAATATGTGAAAGCAATCTGATATGTAAAAAGTGAATTTGTTGAGCCATATACCAACTTTATATATTCAACTTTATATATTCAATAACAGTGTGATTTTAATAGATAAATGATTAAGTGCTATTCTTTTCTGTTACGTTTCTTCATATAATTTTGTTTGAAAATCCCTGTATTCAATTCACATGGGATTTCCTATCTTTTTAATACAGTTTCATCATTGACTACGGCTAGAAAATGTGATGACCACTGTTTTTATGCTATTGGAATATCTATATTAGTCATACTAAACATTTTAACCTGTACGTTATGGATTCGTGAAAGGTATTTTTTCTAATCCATTGTTTAGTTATATAAAATATATATGTGCATTTTTTTTATTTTTTAATTTCTTTTTTTATTTAGAAGAAAGCAAGTGAAAGTGAAAAGACAGTCCGCTCATTACATAACAACTGAAGCAGAAATGAAAGAAAAGACTTATGAATCACATGAATATCAAGAAGTGAATTCTGTATCACGTGATTTTTCGTACCAAAATCTCTCATTTGATACATGAAACTTTTGAAAATACAGGGTTTGATTAGGTGAGTTCGGAACTTCAAATTTTATTAGTGATATATGAGTTAAATAAAGAATAATCATTATTTTAATTCATATAAAGAATTCATTGGTTTTCATATGATAATCATGTTTTTACTGGAATTATAAAGATATATAAAAATACTCTTATCATATTACAGTATATTTCAAATGTATAATGGTGTGCCAGGCAGCAGACTACAATTTTTCGATCGGCGAAATCGAACTATTAACAGAAAACCAGCTTTCTTGACAAATAACAACTGCAGTTATAAACAATGCAAAGAAAATGGATACTAACACAATAATTGCAATTGATAAATGCGGTTATTGTTGAGAAATGGTCATTTATAAAATCTGAACATGTTTATAATATCTCAACATTGAACCAAATGGAGAGATAGAGAGAGGGAGATTTCTCTGCAATAATCCTTTTACGATGTTTATATCGTATCTTTATTATCTTTATTTCTTTAACATGTTTATGTATTTTTAATTAGTAAATGTACTTCCTGACTCCAGCATGAGCTAAGTACTTTAATAAAAAAAATTCATTTGAATATTTAACAATTATTTAATAATCTAATTCTTGATAGTTTTTGATGCCAATCAACATATAAAGGATTAACATCCTTTTAATTGTTTATATATTATATCATATTTCAGTGAATAGCGACAAAGTATACTTCAAATTTTGAAGAAATACGGCATTTTTCACAAGTGGCATACATTCATTTTATTTGACGCACTACTCCTTGTTCGATAAAGTACAATTACCTTTTACCTTCAAAATAATGTGATAACTTCTCTTTAGATAGCAAATCTTTGCAACTGTGTTTTACATTTTGTTAAAAGAAATTTCATCATGAAGCATTATTGGTGTGTTAAATAAGGACGATAAATACGGAAATAAGTAAATAAAAATAAATAAAGGTACTATGTTTAATAAGTATGAGGAAATATTCCACTGATTAAACATTCAGTTGCCTTCTCAAGATCAGTTCCCTGTATGTCAGAGATCGTGTAATAGGTAAAAAGTGATAACATCGCTAAATAATTTAAGGAATAGATAAATCCAATATAACACTGTTTTGATATATAAAGAAAAAAAAATAAAAATGAAGATTATTCCACGGATAGGACAGTTTGTAGGCTTCTTACTTCCCTCATTTTCAGAGAATTCTGACATGCAATATAAGGAAAAGTTAAACCCAATAACAAAGTATTAGTGACCTGTGCAGTTGTATCCATAAGTTAAAAGGAATAACATATATTAGGTATAACCTAGACAATATCAAAATGACATTAAAAATTTCCTGTTCTTATTAATGTAAATTTCCTACCTCTGGAAATGAAGCAATTGAAAGAAAAGTGAAATCTTTTGGCAGAGTAAATAATTATAAAATTTCTGAAATGTTTGACTTCTTCCTCAAATCAGTATTAAGGGGGCCGACTATAGTTTCCATTGCGCAATATTTCGCGCATCAAAGTGAAGTGAAGCGTATTTACTGTTTTAATGCAACTATTTTCGCTTAATTATCAAAATTATACAAAATTAAGAAATTATAGGTATAAAAATGTAATTACAATTTGATATTACTGATCTTTTAACCGATTTTGCAATTGATAGGTAGGTTGACGTCGTTGCAGTGTGTTTTGGACGTTATGATAACCTGGAGCTCTGAAAGAAAGGGGTAATAAAAATATTATTGAAGAAAAAGTAATAAACATACGCTCTTGAAATTTGAAACATAGAAATTTGAGAATATCCCCAATATTTTTATTATGTTTTCATGTGAATCCATTGTGTACGTCATTTTTTGTAATACTCTATAAAAAATAGTAAAATTTGCTATTTTTTGCATTTTGAGATGCCCCCTCTGATAACAAGACGGTAGAATTTTGTGTTTCTTACATATATTGTATAATATGGTATTACTCATCAATATTATAGTTTGAACAAAATGTCTATTGTAGTATTTGTATAATTTGCTTTAAAGTGCTAAAATTTGGCATTTTCCTATATAATCCTACAGTATGTACCCGTATTTTGAGACTGTCCCTCAAAAATACCGGGACGGTAGATTTCCTCCAAACTTTGCATGTACACTGAAGTTAATGTTGGTATAAAAAAATGAAGAGTTTCGCTATTGTAGTTTTCACACAATAAAACTATAGTCGGCCCCCTTAAGTGAACGTCTTGAACGCCAAAGAAAACAAAGATGCATAATTTTCTTTTAATTATCGAAGTAAAGCATGCACTAGGGTAGAACATACATGAGACTCGTTTATATGTAAATGTAAATTTAGAAAGTATCCATCATAAGACAGTAAGAATAAATAATATTTTTGTTTGATACTATTGCTTATGCATAACTACATGAAGAAAAACAGTCATAGCTATAGACTTGTTTGAATAGAGAATTGTACAAATCCATCGAACAGTACAAGTCTTTCTGTGGATTTTCTTAAGTCCACAGTTATAGAGAAAAGTTGTAAAAGCAAGTAGTCTTTTGAAGAACTTTGGTTTTTTTTAATATAAATTCGACAATTTCATATACTGAATTGAGGTATATTTTTTACAGGACCTCATTGTTGAATTTGATAAAACGAATAATTGGTTGGGCATACAAGGGGCATCAACGACAGATAGAAACGTGGGCTTTATGTATAACAGACTTTTCCACCTAATTGCTTTATGCAAATTATTGTTATCATAAAATTCATCAATCAGGGCACATAGTAAATAAGCATTAAATCAATATTACAATTATTTGAATGCCTTTAAAAGAATTAAATTCTTTATAACAAGCATTAGAATTCGTGGTAAATCTTTTTTTGATATCCATTTAACAAATTCAATAATTTTAACAGATTAAATCTCGATTATTTATTCAAAGAAATTGTTATAAAGAATTTAATGTGTAATAACAATTTCGACAATTCTTAATTTCGAAATCTAGAATACATGTACTTTTGACAGGTCCTATAAGAACTTCCGTAATTATGCCATGGACTATTTTAAAAGGGTTATTTTTCCCTTAAATAACAAAGGTCCAATCCTAAATATGGTCTCAGCACAAATGGAATGAAAAGTGTTGTTTTCGTAAGATCTCTAGGCACAAATTCTTGCTATATTGGTCAGAAAATTTGTATCCTGGTTACCATGGTAACAGAGGATGTCCAGAAAAAAAATTATGCCATACAAACAAGTTTTATCCTTGGAAGATACTTAATGCCAAATTTGAAGAAAATCTGTTAGTATGCGTGCCAGACGCTTTCAGAATTACCTTGGTTATTACAGAGAATTGCTCTTAAATGATACTCAGAAAAATATCTGATTATTGTTTTTATTTAGATGTACATTTATGCAATCTTGAAACCAGAGAATGTCCACCTTCCTTGCTGCTCATTACTGTAGGCCGATCCCTCTCCTATCCAAGCTTTTGATATTTTGACAGTGTCATCTTTGTTTAAGTTCAAGATGACAAATCCAGTTGATGAAGCATCATCTCCATATGTTTCAGTATCAACATGAAGGGTTCCCTTGATTATGCCATTTTGCATGATATGGGTTCTTATTTCACCATAATCACCTTTTGTTCCAGCAATATGTGTACCGGCAGCCATCATTGTCCACGAAAAACCATAAACTCCGGAGATTGGTGTTGTGAAAATCCCTGTTTGAGGGGTGTACCCGTTTCCATTGTTTGTTATTACTACATCAAATGCAAAAGTGGAACTGGCTGTACTTATGGCAAAGTCTTTGGAAATGTATGCGTAGAACGCTACTCCATGCTTAGTGTATTCTGAATAGCAATTAATGATCATTATACAAACACTTCAGTTTCAACTATAATTAGTAGACTAAGTATGTCCTAAAGAAATAACCCAGTTATACAAACATTAAGAACAAATAAAAATAAAGTAGCAATTGCAAAGCAATTTAGAAATATCAAAACATGTTTTTATAAATATATCATTTATACACTTGTAAGAATTCAGATCAATAAATTTAGCCTTTTGACAAAATACAGTATCATCTTAACAGTTTATCTAAATACTTTTGTGCGATATATTATTTACATTAATTTTAAGATTTCTTTAATATTTAGGCAGTGTATTGTTGAACTTCAAAATTAATCTTCACAAATAGGTAGTATGTTTTATAAATATTGTTCAGGTTTCTATTCTATAACAAGGCATCTGTGAGCATTACAGATAACATTATTTTCTCTCTTTGTATGTATATTTGTCAAAGTGGAAATAGTTTTAATTAAAAAAAGCAGATCCATGTATGTGCTTTATAGAGCATTGATTTAAATTCAAAGACATTTATTGAATATATTTCTTTATTTTATCTACATTCTGAGTAATTTCTACTGAAAAACTTATACATGTAATTGCATTGAGTTCACAGTAAAATATTATTGCTTATACGAGTTTTGAAAATAGTCTTAATTTAGCACCGGTATAATAAAACAGCTAAAGTATACCATTGAGGGAATTACATGTAACAAGAGTCCTGTTTCCCAAGAGTAAGTCTATTACAAAGCTTCTGTGAGTATTACAGATAACACTAACCTCCGCACTGACTTCTGTCGTAGCTACACCTTGAACAGGAAGTACAACAGTCAGCAGCACATTGAAGAACAACCATACCAATCAGAATAAGAGTCAGGGCCATTATTCTTTACGTCTATTATACTCAATTAATAGTGTATCTATAGAAAAATGTTTTGCATCTTATATATAAAACAACACACGTGAAATGAACTCCGTGACCATCTATAGAAATAAAATTGCACGCAAAAAAGTAATTACGACAGATGCAGTGTTAAAAGCTGTACATATATGATTTTTTTAAAATAATGAATGATGCAGAAGTGAAACGCAGAGTTAACTTGATTTTGCACGATAAATAAATTGATAATAATATAAATCAAACTCACCTTAGAATATGGTTGACTAATGAAATGTGAAATGAAAACAGATATCAACGAACCAAAATAAAGCTTAAAATATCACTACACAGCTCCGCACACTTTTTAAACTAACATTGATTTTCGCACAAATTAAAGTAACATGATTGCTATTCTGCAAAATTGTTTTACACTGAGGCAACAAAGTACATCTTAAAGGTGTTTTCTTACTTAATTGATTTTAAGTTCATTCCACTAACTTAAAACATAATTCAAACATAATAATTGATAAGATTTTGATATAGAATGTATTCTTGACTGAAAGATTATGAAAGTCTCCAAATGCAGTTTTTTGGCATTGCAAAGACACACAAGCAGCGCGGCTCGTGTATCTTCTGTATTTTCTATACATTTTAAACATAATTCTAAAGCTTAAATTGATAGCAGTATTTCTCATCTGTTTTATTGCTTTCCATATTAAAAAGGTGGCATTTTCAGGGTTGTTTTCTGAATAAAGCATGATGAAAGATACAACTCACCGCAAAATATGATTGATTGATTGATTGTACATTGTTTAACGTCCCTCTCGAAAATTTTTCATTCATATGGAGACGTCACCGTATGCCGGTAAAGGGCTTCAAATTTTGACATTTACTCGGCACTCAGGGCCATTGAGCAGTGAGGGATCTTTATCGTGCCAACGCCTGCCGCTGACACGGGGCCTCGGTTTTTCAGGTCTGATCCGAAGGACCAGGTCAGTTGCGGCCGAGATACGATCTCACGACCTCCGGAGCGAGCGCTCTACCGACTGAGCTACCGTGAACGGTCCGCAAAATTTGAAATTTTAAGACCATAAATATAGAATAATTTTCTATTTTATAGTAACGAGTTACTATTTAAGCTACTTCTTGTTTGATTATGGAAAATGGGTCAGTGGTTCTGGAGAAGAAGATAAAATTGGGAAATAAAATTGCGACAATGAAGAAATTAAGAATTCAAAAAAGCTCACTTTTCAAGGCTACAGCTCAGGTGAACTAAAAATACAATCCCTTCTCCATTCTGAAATATTGTTTTGTTTGTTTTGAACATATTTTATTGATAAATATCACAAGTTCTAAATAACTTAGTGAATTCCTCTCCTTAAATACCGTGAAATATTAAAAATAAGTTCATAGAATGTTTCTTGCAGCTTAAAATTGTATCCACTAATAGTTATTTAGCTGATGCCATTCTTTTCAAAATGAGAATTTAATGAGCAAATATTTACAATTGATTTAACAGTCGCTCATGATGCTCATCACTAAAAACCGACCTCTCTCCTCTCCAAGCTTTCGATATTTTGACGGTGTCATCTTTATTCAAATTCAAAATGACAAAACCTGTTGATGTTGCGTCATCCGCACTTTTTTTCAGTATCCAAGTCAAGTGTTCCTCTGATTATAACATTCTACAGGATATAAGTTCTTATATCATCCTAATCCCCTTTTGTTCCAGCAGCATACTCGCAGGCGGCCATCATTGTCCATGAAAAACCATAAACTCCGAAGATTGGTGCCGTGAAAATCCCTGTTTGAGGGTTGTATCCATTTCCACTGTTTGTTATAATTTGCTCTTGCAATATTTGAATGAAGCGGTCCCTGAATTATGTCATTTAAAGTTTTTGACTTTCTATTTGTCCATAAATGCCACTAGTTGCATGTTTTTCATGCAGGAATTACGAGTATACATAAAAATGTCTACACACTTGGCGGTGAATAATTTTGTGACCTTGCTGTATTCATGTTCATTTTTAGTCAATTATAAACAATAAATTCACAACGTCCAATTTTAATTATAAGGATTCACTGGTATTTTCTTGTTAAATTGACGTCAGTTAAATTATTTATGTACTGTGGCATCATCGATATTTCGTTGTTGTGGGGTGTTCTTTGATTTCGTTGATCACCCTTATCCAGGAATTTACATCGCCATGAGCAATTATCTTTTCGACATGTTTATCTATTAAATTTTCTGCATATACAAATACTCTCAAAATAACGTCCATATTAACCAAGTTAACCAACAAAATTTCCCTTGCCAATGGACATTGAGCCAGGCGAATAAAAAAGACGCCTCATTTTTTTTTTTTAAAGATGGTAACGTCTTGGACATTTTAAGCAATAATTTGGAATGGGTGTGCTTTTTGATGCGTGCATTCTCTTAAAACTATATATCATAAAATTGATTTTTTTTCATATTTTTACATATGAGATTTTATTGGCTGAAGAGAAAAAAATTATAATACAGAATACAAGATTTCCTCTTATAACACGATTGATGTCATCATACTGGATAACATTGGTGTATTTCTCCCCTCTGATGGTATTTAAATGAGCAAGTTTATAATTTAAAAAAATAATATTTACGAACAATAATGACGATTCTAGGTGCAAATGGCATGATATGAATGGTGATTATTTAAAATTATGTTCTTCCTACATATCCACTGGATGAACTACAAATTACAAAAATGATGTGCTTCGTTGTTTTTGATATTTATCTAAAGACGATTGATTAAATTTCCTGCCAAATGTTTTCTACTCAATTCCATTAATCTCATTGAATTAAATGTATTTTTTTTTACTTCAATATGAATATTATATCAAATAGCAAAGATTAAAAAGTCCTGTTCTGCAATAATTTTATTTAATATTTTTCAGATTACATAGGATTATCTTTTTGCAAAAACTTATGCACGATTATCAGTTGCAGTTTTATTTATGGCACGTAAGATTCCATCTGATTTTTCATAATTTTTTTTTACATGATCTATAATCAATTAGTCCACTACCGGTGTAACTGGATTAAACTATAGATTTTTCTCCCCGTCTGTCTGTACCTCTGTATGTCTGTCAGTCTGTCCCACTTAGTTTTCCGCACTATTTATTCAAACATTCACATAATCTGTAATAAAGATGTGAGTCGGAATAACCAAAAATATTTATTTAACACGATGTGTATTTCAAAAAGAAGGTACATAAAGGTTAAACACAATGTGCATTGTTATGTAATACCTATGTCGTCAGATAAAAGAGAAACTTATCTATTGGATCAGGAAATAAGGCAGAAATTAACACAATTTCTACCAACGATGTACCTTCTTTCATTTCATTGTATTTTCATATTAAGTCACATGTAAAATAGTCGTAAAGTATAAGGAAGAAACCTTAACCTGCATACTTTTTTTACACTGATCACAGTACATATACCAATGGCATTTAAGAACCAATGTTAATCAAAGGCGGTTGTTTCCTTAAGATTATTACGTGATTTATATTTGACATTGCATTAAGGGTCAATGGAAGTAAATAACATTTGGAAAGAAATGCATTAAAGATATTATAAATATATTTCCTTCTGTTCTGTTGATTGGTAGCTATAGTCTCTGTACTTTTTCACATTCCGAAGCCTTTAAGTCAATGTTTATTAAGTATTATATAATATTGACAGGGAAGAAAATAAACAATAAATGCACACAAAACCATTTCCTTCTCTGTTTGTTTTTAGACTTCGTGTCTTTGAAAACTACCAAAATAAGTACAAATGAATAAAATAAATGTAGAAAAAGGTATGATAATGAAGAGGTCCAAATGTGAAAACTTGATCTTCTTAAAAATAACACTTTTTAAGTAGCAATTTGCTAAACGTGTTGCATGTTAAGAAACATTCAATGAAGAGATCTAGACTTACTTGTAAAATACAAAATAATTTCTAAACGCATTATACTATTCTCTTATTAATCTAATGAATGAATTCAGTTGAAGAAAATATATCGTATTTTATTACGTATCTGATTATAAACAAATAAATGGGGAAAAAAACATAAATATGTACATGTGCATTATTCTGGGTTTTTTTTTTTGGTCCGTCGATGACTTAACATATGCTGTATTGCGTCTATACATTACAACAAATAAAGGTAAAATGATAATCCTTAATGCCTAAAACTGGTAAAGTCATTATTTTTTACAGCAAACAATAAACTTCTCAGTATTTTCACTAGAGAGAGGGCTAATATAGGCGACCCCTGCTTCCCAATCCCATTAACGTTTTGTGAATAAAATTATATATGAATTTAATTAAGTTTAACTATTTGCAGATATGTCCATTTAGCAATTAGCGTAAACTGTATCATTCTGAAGATATTCAGCTAAAACATCATGGCAAAACTGGTATTCATCCTACAATAGAGTTAAAAAGAAATGAAATCAAACTAGCACAATTAAAATAATAATTAGCAATAATTTTCTAATTCAAGCCTATCTTTATTTCATTTATAATTTGGCTTCACAATCTCTAATCTTTCTTTCGTACCAAGGTGGAGATAAATTCCGGTCTTCGAATTTGAAGCAAACGTGTATTGGTAAACATATCAAATTCGTTGTCAAGGGATATTTGCTCCAAGCAGTTGTAAACAACACAGAATGGCCCGCATCGTTTGGCACCGTCACTGAAGAAAAGAATTGATTAATTAATTGTGTAAAGAGTGTCAATAACTATTTCTATCAATTGATAAGAAAATGACTAATCAAAACATATAATTCCTATTTTTATTTTTTACACAGATCAATCATCTTTCTCCTATTTTATATCATAAAAATAAGCCAAATTGATATCTTATCTTTACTTTGACAAGATTAGAATTCTGCTTCCAGTGAGGCTTTTCTCAATTTTTGTTTCCTTTATCGCGTCAAGTAACGCCCTATGATCTAAAGACAAGCCGTCTTTCCACGCCCTGCATTCAACTACAGCCAATCTTCTTATATTACCACTACCCTGAAAACAACACACAGTCACTTATTTGTAAAATAGATTTTTCTGAGTTTCTTATTTTGTATTACAGCTTGTCCGTGACATTTTGATGTTTTAACAAACCTCTCGCTTCAGCAAAATTTCTGTGGTATTTATATTGTTGGAATTTGAAGATTCTGCAAATTTTACTGTGAACGATCCCAATGTTTTTGTCTGTTTTTTGAATGGAAACCATTGGGTAGACTGAAAACATATCATAAATGAGAATTATATGAATAAAAAAGAAGAGGGTAGTACAAAGTAGCCAATAATTTATAATAACCATAAGCAAATTTCTTTGGAAACAAAACATTTTTTTTACTGTAAACTTTAAAGTCAATAAAAAGACATGGAAAAAAGATAAATTTAAAGATGTCGTTAATGATAATATTTAATAAGGAAAATTACTGTGAAGTAAGTCATAACACACACCGAGGAAATATCTCTCAATGGAGATAAGAATACGGCAACGCGGACATCAAAATCTGTCAGTAATCTGAGGAAGTCTTCCGTGTAATCAGGAAGCGGGTACTGAGCGCTGATCAAGGCGTCATTTCTAGTGAAAGACTACAAAATTCCAAGTTAAAATTTTATTGCTTTGATTTCGAATGAGTACATGTGTTTTAAATTTTAAAATGTTTTTCTCTATTAATTTTTAAGCACAAGATATGAATTTAGTGAAATCTTGCTAAACCTTTAGAAGAACAGCGTTATAATAGGTTCCTCTATTTTTCACGTAGTCCAGATAACATCTGAATTCCTCAACTACAATTAAAACAATAATTTCATCCCACATGTATTTGTGTTTAAAGTTTTTCCATTGTTTAAACAATCCTTAATTGAACATGATATTTTTTGTTTAATAACTTGTGATGCATGTATTTTACACTTATGCTAGAACCCTAAATTACATGAAACAGTGCAAAGGACAACAGCTTCATGCTCAACACAAATACTTACGTGGTAAAATTGATGGCGTGTAGTTTGCCGTAATATTAGCATGTCCCGATTCAAAATCCTTTTTGGAATGCTTTTTTCTCAGATTCGCCAATTCCTTCCAAGAACAATTTTTTAAAAAATAATTGTTTTTAAATTGAATGCATAATTTGATGTTTTGTGCCTTTTTACTTATATAAATAGTTAAATATAAACCTCAAATTCCTCAGATTTTGTGTTGGTTGAATTTCCTCCAGAATTTGAGTAACAGGAGTGTTGCTGGTATTCTTTCAAAAATGACTCAGTAGACATACATTCAGATTTTCCTCTAAAAGACTCAAAGAGCGTCAAATAGACAACTTCATATTGATCCTGCAAGGCAACATGTAAAAAAAAAGTTGCGAAAGACTGATATATTAACCTTAGAGTATGAACTGAATATTGTCAATTTCTTCCTTAATGCTCCTGAGAGAGTTTTGCAGAGAAATATATTAACAGTGCTGAATTGTTTTCTTACCCTTTATAGTGAACGTTAAAGAATATTGGATAAATCTGAAAATTATTCAATAATCTATGGTCTGTAGAGAGTGTTACAAATTGAGATATAAAATATTTCTTCATCACACAGAAACAGTTCCATTTCTAGCCAAAAGCATCTGCCTTAAAAATTTCTATAGTTATCTCACTTACACTACCCTGTATCATGTTCATTCGGTCTTTTCTCATGATTTCTACATACTTCTGCACATTAACTTTTCCTGTCTTTTCACCTTCCCGGTAGAGGGCGTCCAGTGCTATATACGTCCCCGTTCTTCCTATGCCGGCACTAGATATAGAGATTTATCGTAAAAGTGTTAACTAGAAGAGAGAGAGAAAGAAAGAGAGAGTGGGAGATTGAAAAAATAGAAAAAAAGATGAGAGAGAGAGAGAGATCATGCCTGCAGTGTACAAGGATGTATTTTCCGCGAACCACATCAGACATCCGCATCACGTGACGATGAAATATGACAAGACTTAGTGGATCAGGAACCCCGTGGTCTGGCCATTTTGTGTAATGGAACATCATCACCGCCATGTTTGTTTTGATCTGATAGAGACAATTGCACATTTTTTTTTTATAAAAAATGTCTAATTCGAAAATTTTCAGAATATCATAAACTTAATCAAGGGATTTTCATTTCAATTATGGGTCACTTTAAAGAGCAATTCTTCGAAATTATGGAAATTCATGAATACTGTAGACGTACTTTTTTCCACGAGGTCATAATTCCGCGGAATCTCAATTTTTGTTTAATCCGCGCGTAGAAAAGTACGCGGATTTCCTAGACTGTCACTGAATGGCTTACATTTGTATTAAGTACGCTTGGACAAATTTCCGCGGAAAATTTGTGACCGCGTAAATAGCGTAAATTAATACCACGCGGAAAAAAGTACTTCTACAGTATCATTATTACATTTTTTCTACTTAGACGAAGAGTTCTTATAACATAGTCTGCATAAACAATCTCCTTCTCGGTATAAATGGTAAACTCTCCAGTCCTTATTTGTTCGCCATTGTTGGGCCAGTATTGAGAGCATTTAGTCTAATAAAAGATTGTAGAAATATTACATATTTATTCATCAACATAATAACTAACTTTTATATATTACTTTTTGCATGGCACAAACATTCGAAGTCAATAAAAAATAAGAAACCTTTTCTCCCTCCTTCAGATTTGTCAAACACACAATTATATTAAGCTTTTCTTGCCAAACCATTGACCAGAAATCAGATACCGTCTTTGACTTTGGACCTAATGATGAGAACCAAGAAGACAAAAAGACTACGCTTGAAAGCCATAACTTTTTGCTATTTCAGTCGTTCGTTTTCTTCTCTTTTACTTTAACAATGTAGATGCATTGAGATTTGATCTTTTTTCTTTTACCTTGAGTAGCTACATACGCCCTTTGTCCTTGAGTATCCTAATTTAATATACAAAATAGACACTTTTTATATGGTAGTCTAAAGAAAAAAAAACGTTATTTATATTTAAAAAGAGGCTAAAATTGAAGACACAAGTTACACTGTACCTCAATAAAATTCGCATTAATGTAGTTGGATCCGCTCGATAATGTTGACAGAATAACACGGGAATGATCATCTGAAAAAGAGGATTAATGGGAAAGCATAGTCCATAGAATTTAGAAGAAAAAATATACAGAATATTACTCACAAGCATATGTTGTTTTATAGCGGTTTTTGGACACATTTTCAGACTTTTTGGCTTCTAAACAAGGATAAAGTTCTCCCTTCTTTATTTCCTGAAAATAATGAAAGGCCTAATAAATAAAAACTTCAGCTAATTAATGCACTGATCGTAAAATTTGCGACACAGAATATAGTATATATTTTACATTACTTATTCAAGTTCTAACTAAAGAAAGACTAACAACAATATAAAATATACCATATATTCATTCTTAAATCCAGCGCTTTCACACAATGTCATCTTTTCTACTATCACATGTAAGTTCTTTATCGGTATTAATTTCTTTGTGTGTATCAATCCACCTCTTGGATCTTTTGCCTGACCATGTGGGACAAGGCTTGTGGTTGACTCGCCAAGACTTGATGTATTATCCTTTTTTGCAGATTTGGAATCTGTAATTTTATTAATAATATTATTTATATTTGCTTTTATTTTTAGCCAAGTTTCTTTCATTGATCTTTTATACACACTTCAAAGCAATCCAAAACTAGAAACTTCAACTCATATAATTTATGAACACAAATACTTAACCAAATTTTTTAATGGGGAATATGAATAAAAATAAAAGAATTAAGAATGATTTACGACTCGGCTTTGTTGATGTCTGTTTGTTTTCCAATTTTTGAAGCATTATCCTCCCTTTGGAATCAATAGATTCTTTTTCCATTTCGGATTTATTTCTATATCTGAATAAAGAATGTAAAATTGATGACAATAATAAACGACATGTATATAAACTGAATGTCAAATTACATTCAAAGAAAAGGATTTCTTCATTTTAAATCCATGTATAATATAATTAGGTTCTTGGTTGCCCTTTCTGTATTGGCTTATATGTATTTCTGCCAATGATGAGATAAAAAAAAAATCATTTATCAAAACGAAAATGTCCTAAAGAAACCTATGACAGAGATAGATGTAAAAATGACTTTTAAGTTTAATCTTGACTCACCGTACAAACAAAATCAGTGAAATAATCAACAGGATGAAAAATATAGTTGCTCCAACACTTACTCCAACGGTGACAGACTCATCAGCATTTTCCGAAGATAGGATTTCTACTTTTGCCTTATTTTCCATGGAAACTTCTATCACAAAATGTATTTAAGTAACAAACAATTAACTCATTAATAGTTCTGTGTTTCTTATTGCTATACGAAGAACATAACATTACTTTTGAAGTGTGTTTGGATACCTGAAAAACCTTTTTTTTTTTTTTAAAAAAATCAGATTTGAGTATCACAACACATACATGTACTTTAAAAAAAGACACTTTATTTAAAAAGACCATGCATCAAAACATGTTTATGCATGAGAAACGTACTACCAACTAGTAATAGACAATTTGTATCCCCCCCCCCCCCCAAAAAAAAAAAAAATTTAAAAAACATAAAAGTATTAATATCCAGAAAGAATAAAACTGTTTTTTTTAATATATGCAACAGCACCTTAGCCTTTCAGTAGCTCATTATATGTAATAATTATATAATGGAAATTTTATAACAACCTGTTTTGCATTCTGGGGAAACCATTTGTGGATTTTTGCACGTACAGGTCCCATCAACATAATCACATGTGCCAGAACAGTTCTTGGAGCACGTTTTGGAGCAATTTGGCCCGTAAGTACCATTTGAACAAGCTGAAAATTTACTTGAAATGATATATTAATTCTGAATTTATTTTTATAAACTGTTCAAAAAGGGAACGCATATAATAAGAATAACACGCTTAATTATATAAAATAGGTTTGTTACATGCACCTTTGAAAATAATATGATTACTTAGTGTAAAACCCATAATATTTTCACTGTATTATCTTGACAGCAATTCTATATTGTTCTACAAAAGTCAAAGACAAAAAATCGTAATATGGAACAATGCTTCTGTTTGGTTTGGTTACAGTTTAAATTGCTGGTTCCTGACTCACAACATTGGGGTACAAAAGTTAAAAGGTTTTTTAAAATTTTGTTATTTTTTAAAATTGGCACTTTTAATACTTTTTCAAGCTTAGTGATGCACTTTACAAAAATAAAATCGCGCGACTGGGAGCAGGTGCACAACATTCTAATATTACAAGAGGCTTTATTGTTACACAAAGCCTCTTAAATATATCTCATCAGAAACACTTAACAACATCTAATACAGATACTGATTGCCAGAATTTGGAATCCCACATTTGACATCTGTAGCACAAGACCATGTTATGAATTATGTTATATTTATAAACGTTCAGCTAAGACCTTCAACTGCAGCCTTAACCTCTTGTGGAGTACACAGAATTTCATACAATGCCCTTTGCAACTGAGCTCTGGATGATTCAGCTAGAGCCGGAGGATATATTCATGTTAATGTTCTAATCCCACAACACCGTAAATATCGAATTATGCGGGTGTGACCAGTCTACTGCTTGGCATGTGATCCCACGTCATGTTTGCAATTATTTCAATCTGTATTGTTTAAATAAATTTTTAGAGCGTGAATTATGTTCGTTATATCTACATGTATTTTTTTTTATCAACATTCTACTTAAAGATAGACTGTATTTAATAACATAGTTATTGTATAGACTATATATTATTTATGAAATGTTTTCCTAAAAAAGACCCTTGATATTTTTATATCATCAACTTATTTTGCATCATTTCAGAAGAATTTTTATCATGGACTTTAACCATGCTCTTGCATATCAAATCAATAAGGAAATTATACATTGCTACTCCAATACGTAGAGTTGACGTGATTTGAATCATCACGTTTTTCATATATCTAGTTTTTTGTTAACAATTAATGATATGAAGAAGTTGCGTCCAACATTTTTGGGGTATATCTAGTTAACAATTTGCATATTGTAAATCATCAACTCAAGCAACTTCAAAATATCCACATCGAAGAACTTTTTCGTGGAATCAGAATGTTCCTATACAAAATACGCAATTTTAAATTCTAAAAACCAGTTTAGAAATGGCAAGGTAATAAATATTATTTTTTTTAAAGATTACGATATAAGATATTAAAAATGTATATGACAGCTGTTATAATTACGATATAAGATATACAATATAGATATTTAAGGAACACATCGTCTGACCTTAAAATAGTTGTTTATATCTTACTTGAATTACATTGCATTCCAAAATAACCGTCTGCACAACCATTTTCACAAACTCCAGTCACGTGGTTACATGTCTCTGTGTTGTTACAGTATTGACTGCATAGATACATGCACCCTATCCCATATCTTTTTCCTGTACAAACTTCCAGGAAACAAAGAAATTAGTACTACATGTGCTTAGACATTATTTGAAAAGTCGATTTACAGGTATAATCTAAACACCATTTGTGACAAGTGCTTCGTTTTTAACTTAAATTTTTTCATGCTTAAAATACCTTACATTTATCTCAGCTGGGTTAGAATTAAGAGTCATGTATTTCCAAAGTAAAATAATAATAAAAAAACAGCAATATTCCCCATATGTGTCTACTGCAATAAGTGAATACTTAGCAAATTCAGATGTTTCTTATTTTTGAAACCATTTAAACAAGATTAAATTTTTAATGTTGAAAATTATCTACACCATAAACGTATAAGACAATACGGCGCATTTCTTCAAAAACAGACTTATTAAAATTTTCCTACAGGATTTGGAATTTTTTTCATACCCATAAATGTATATTCTTTCAGAAAATTACGAATTTCGTAAGTACATAATTCTGATTTTTTCATTATAATTAATAATTACTTATGGTCCATAAATATATGCATCGCAACGTGTTTCGAAGTTCCACATTCCCTACTATACACGCATGTGTAAAGCTTTCATAAACAAAACAGCATGGTAAGAGAGGAAAAATGGTAGGCCTGCTTCATTGACAAAGTCGACCAACACGAAAAAACAAAACCAAAAATAGGGCTTGAAATTAAAAAGCAACTTTCCTGATAAAGATTTAGTTGGGAGATTAATATAATCATTTGATGAAGAAGAAACAGGATCTCGACGACATTCACATGGGGCTCGCGAAGGTTCTACCCTAAAGGTTTGTTGATACATGCTATCATTTATTATATCTCCATGGCTTTCAAAGAAAAAAAATCGGTGTAAACTCAGCGTAAAAATGCACTTATGACATATAAAAATTATTGCCATTTGAAGCCCAAATTGTATTGGAACTGCAGAAAGATATTTTTTTGACTTGCATGATGACGTATGATTTGGTGGATATACCTTTCCAGCACCCCAAACCACAAAAAGTCAACATTTGTACTTAATCATGATAAATTCGTCTGAATGCAGACTACTATGATAACTATTATTAATTTACCGGAGAGTTAAGATATTTTGATTCTCAGAATTGCTTTTACTTAATATTCCATTATTATTGTAAACCCTACATTGTATGCACGTGTCATTTTGACTTAACGTGGTACAAGTTAACAGATCTAAGTTGTACGACTCTTGATTGGGTTGTTATTTATTTTTCTCAAATGCTTACTTCAACTTTTTACCTTATTCCTGAATGATATATTGAGTAAATTTGAATGAAAAAGCACACGATTTGCAGCCGTATTGCCGCTTTAAATATCAACTTTTGAAAATGTATAGCAAACAGATCATCAAACAAAAAAAAATCTTGCCAAATAACAATGCTTTCTGAACCTGTTAAATTAACTCAAGTTAATCAAGTATTATGTAGATAACTCTAAATTAAAAATATGAATCAATTGATTTCAACATTTTATTATTATCACTTTATTTTCTTTAGAATTTAATGACCCGATTGACAAGAATGCTCAAAGAGCTAAATGATCAGATAATCTGAAATATCTTAAGTTCGCAGTAAACATTAACCTCTATTGCATTGTTCTCCAGTGTATCCAGGTTTACATCCTTCGTCACATTTTCCTGTTATTCTGTTGCAGACTAAATCATTAAGACAAAATCTGCTACAGTTGTGTTTACAATCCGGTCCAAATGTTCCAGTGGCACAACCTGTGTTGAAAATAACGTTTATACCTCTAACTTTGATATTTTTTTCATCTGTTCGAAAACAGATTCAGAATGAGATGAGCATAAAACTTCTAAGGATTAGTTATGATTTAAAGGAAAACTGTCATAATTGTCTTACTTTCATTGCAAAACACACCCATCCATCCGTCAGTACAGCCTTTTAAACACATACCATTAGTGGAAATACATGAAGAATTATTTTTACAATGACCAGAGCAGGACAACGAACAATCAGGACCAAACTTTCCAGCTGAGCATGCTGCAGGATTGAATAAATAGATATATTATTATCAACTGAAATAAATGTTAATTTTTTAATATCAGCTTCATCATCGGTCCTTCGGATGAGACCGCATCAACCGAGGTCCCATGTAGCAGTAGATTCTGGTACAAAAAGATCCCTCACTGCTCAATGGCCCTAAGTGCCGAGTATACCCTAACAAAAAAATACTATAATTAACTATAGTTAACTTACTTTGACACTTTGAAAACTTTGATTTACTATATTGATAACTTTGACACCTTGAAAAACTTTGACGAAAACTTTGACACTTTAAAAAACTTGAAAACTTTCAATTGACACTTTGAAAAACTTTAACGAAAACTTTGACACTTTGAAAAACTTTGGCTAAAACTTTGACACTTTGAAAAACTTTT